ATCTGCCAGGACCTTGCTCGCTAATCTAAGCGCTCCAAAGTTTGGCTACATTTGCGATCAGAAGCCAAAAAAGCTAAGTATAATATTTGTGATAGATAAACATTTTGCAAGAGAAGTGTCACCACCAACATGACAAAGCACTTTAATTTAATAGATCGTTAAAGATCGCGATTCAAACACCAACGTGATTCTATTCCTAAATCACAATTCGTCTGTTTCATTCCTCAACCTTTGACATGTGCGATCAATGTTGTGATCACTTGGTTCGTCTGTGCAGCATACGATCACATCAGTGTTATTTGAACATTTAAATCTGCGTTCGCGCTGCCGCTGACCTAAAGAGAGCATTTGTCTGTCATGAATGAAACAGCTTCACAGTCTTTTCAGCCACACAGTATCATTATTTCTGTGTTACAAACATTCAAATCACAGAAGTACTGGGATAAAAGTTTATAGTTCAGATATGAACCGTGTGTACGATGTGTACGGTAGCGATTAAAATAGAGTAAATCACCTTTTGAAAGTAATTTGATACTTCAAATAATCACATTGGAATCAAAACTGGGAATCGGAATCAATAAGCAGAATCGGAATCGGAATTGATAAAATTCAAACGATACCCAACCCTAGTATTAATATCACCAGAGATTGCGTAATACTGACATAATAAGAAGAAATGAAAGGGTTAGTTCACCCAAAAATGAAAATTACCCCATGATTTACTCACCTTTAAGTCATCCTAGGTGTATATGACATTCTTCTTTCAGACGAATACAATCTGAGTTATATTAAATAATGTCCAGGCTAATCCATGCTTTATAATGGGAGTGGATGGTAGCCCAAAATTTGAATTTGAAGTCCAAAAAATTGCACCCATCCATTATAAAAGAAGTCCACACGGCTCCGGGAGGTTAGTAGAGGCCTTCTGAAGCGACACGATGCGTTTGTGTAAGAAAATACCCATATTTACAACTTCATAAACCTTAATCTCTAGCTTCCGCTAACTGTCGTACGCTCGTTCACGAGAGAGTGGCGTCCAGCGGATGACGTAGCACGTAGGCGAACGCGGTGACGAACGTGGAAGCGCAGAGGAGAGAGCGAAACAAAACGCCGGTCACAAATTAGTAGTACAAAACGAGGATTTGTAAAGAAAAATGTCGAAGGATTTCGATATAAGCCAAGAGGACACTGGGTTTCCTTTGCTGTAAACAAATCTTGTTTATCGCGAGACTAGCATATTCTCACCGGAGCTTATGCTACGCTTACGTGCTACGTCATCCGCTGGACGCCACTCTCTCGTGAACGAGCGTACGACAGTTTGCGGAAGCTAGAGATTAAGGTTTATGAAGTTGTAAATGTGGATATTTTCTTACACAAACGCATCGTGTCGCTTCAGAAGGCCTTTATTAACCTCACGGAGCCGTGTGGACTTCTTTTATAATGGATGGGTGCAATTTTTTGGACTTCAAATTTCTTACACAAACGCATCGTGTCACTTCAGAAGGCCTTTACTAACCTCCCGGAGCCGTGTGGACTTCTTTTATAATGGATGGGTGCAATTTTTTGGACTTCAAATTTTGGGCTACCATCCACTCCCATTATAAAGCATGGATTAGCCTGGACATTATTTAATATAACTCAGATTGTATTCGTCTGAAAGAAGAATGTCATATACACCTAGGATGGCTTGAGGGTGAGTAAATCATGGGGTAATTTTCATTTTTGGGTGAACTATCCCTTTAACTAAATTATATTAGGTGACAGATTTAGTGCTTACATAATTTTTTTTTACTAGATTTGCATTATATATAATGTTTATACTATATGTATATATTTTATTTAGCTTTTTAATATATTTGAAATATTAAATTGCGTATAATAATTATTAAACTATTTTTAAAATGTTTTTTTCTTTAAAATGTATTGGCATTATGATTGTTTTAATTTATACTACTACGAATGTGTCATGAAAAATCCTTTGCTTTTGATATGGCATTAAGTAATTAAAATAAAAATAAAAAATCTAAAATAAAATGTACATTTCTGTGCAGAATCACTACATTTGTGGATTATGTGTCAGATCTTGGACATCCGTATGTTTGGGTGCAGAAATTGGGAGGCCTGCAGTTCTCGTCTGATGGTGCACAGGTGTGTGTTGCTTTAGAAATGTTTGAGTTACATTTTGCAGTTTAAATTGAAGCAGAACATCTTAAATTCATAAAGCTGTGGCATTAAATGTTGTATGCACTGCAAAAATCATATATCTTCCTCAATTTTGTTTTCTATTACAAATATTTAAGTGTCCTTAAATCGAGATGCAGACTCGGAGTATGCAAAATGAAGATATGAAATCTTGTTTTCTGAGAAATTAAGCAAAATTAAGTGAGTTTATTTTTAAAGCAAGAACAAATACCTGTCTGTGGAGTATGAAAGCTTGTTTTTCTTTAAATGAAGTTGATTTTTTTTCTAAGCTTTTAGAAACATTTGCAGGTATTTGATCTTATTTGAATCATAAGCATAATTTTGATCAAATTCTTAAACAGAATGTCATTTTGCTTCATAAAAAATCTTGATTTAAGAGTTTGCACTGGAAAACAAGACAAAAATACTGAGAAAGGACGTCACTTTATTTCAGTGTGATCAGGAGTAACACTTATTTCCATATTTCTAGCTAAGCTAAATGAATCAAAAAGTAATGGAGATCTGTTGAAAGATGTATTTTCCAATTTTGAAGTGTTACTCATTGTAGGGCTGCACGATTATGACAAAAATCATAATTGTCGATTATTCCATTGAAATTGTAATTGCGATTATTAATTATGATTATCACAATTTACACTGAATGATGTTTATACCATTGTTTGATGCAACTGCATGCCGTATTTTTATATGAAAATAAACAAGCTGAAAACACTAACTGAAAAACCTTTAGTGCTTTTCTATAGTATTAAGCCTCAAATGTCAAATATACATCAGATTGGTTTCTTCTTTAAATTATAAAAAAAGTAAAAATATGAATGGTATTATAATGTTATACTAAAATTAAAACAATGGAAAAACCCTTAAGATCACATGTAGAAAGAAAAAAAAACGCATCTTAAGCATGCAGAATAACATAAGTGGACTTTGAACGATTAATTGGCGCTTTGAACGATTATGTAATTGTGATATCCATAATTGTAATCGCGATTAGAAATTTGATTAATTGTGCAGCCCTTACTCATTGTATAGATCCCTAAATATTTAAATATAGAAGTCGTCTAAAATGTACCTTTATGAAACTTGCAGAAAACTTCAAAATAAGCTTTATTATTGACATCGGTGAAAAGTTAGCAGTATTGTAATGTCATGAAGTGTGTTTGTTTCAGTTGGAGCTGATGGGCAACGCTCTGAGCGCCAGTCACATGGAGAGGACCATGAAGCTGCTGCAAGGAAGACTGCAGGCCCGACTGGCCCTACACAAGCAGTTCAGCTCGCTGGGTATGAGACGGTCAGATGTTCACTGTGTTTATCTGGTGTTGCTTTGCAGTAGCTGAGGTTTCTGTGTATTTGTTTGTTATGCGGTTACAGAGGAATTCTGGGTGTTTGCCTGGTGGTTATTTACTGGCCAAGGTCAACAAATTCAACAACCCATATTTAGAAACAAGATATCCCATAGATAAATTCAGAAGATGTGTATTTAGTCAATAAATATGCATTACACTACACAAAAATATGAGGCAGCAAAACTCTTTTCATTGATAATAATGAGAAAGGTTTCTGAAGGATCATGTGACACTGAAGAATGGAGGAAAATACAGCTTTGATCACAGGAATAAATTACATTTTAAAATATATTCAAGTAGAAAGCAGTTCTTTTAAATTGTAATAATATATTACTGTTTTTACTGTATCTTTCGTTAAATAAATGCACCCTTAATAAATATAATAATTGAACCATGATGCTGTTGAATGCTGCTGTCTGTTTAGTTAGTTGCGTTAACAGTGCAGTGGGTTTGTTCTGTTCCAGAGCACAGCATCATTCCCGTCTCCGGCGAGTGCCAGCATCTGTTTCCTGCTAAAGTGGTTTCCGGTCTCACTCGCTGGACCATGATGAGCTACCAGGAGTTCACTGTACGTTTCTTCCAGTCTGGAAATACTCTTTCAAATCGGGGGATGTTTAGCATCTCACACCGACATCGTGGGCAAGCCTAGTGCAAATTTGGTTTCTTGAGTGAAAATCAGTGCCTCAAAGTTTGGTTCCTGTTGAACAGGAACTGGGCTTCGTGCAGCATGTGTTGAAGGCCGGTCTGCTGCGTGAGACGGATCTGTTCTTCATGGCGGTTGTGGAGAGAGGAACAGGTGGGAATTGTGCTCTTGTGTCAGACTCTTCACTGTCGACATGTTCGGTTTGAATTTGTAGCTTATTGTGGCCTAAAATCATGCACTTAGAGAGTGTTTGTGATGTTTAGGGTGGCGGGTGAATTTGAAATCCATGATATCTCATTTACTTGCTACTCTAGTATTTAATTTAATTTAATTTATGCATTAAGCAGACGCTTTTATTCAAAGCGACTTACAACGCATTCAGGCTATAATTTTTTTTTACCAGTATGCGTGTTCCCTGGGAATTGAAACCATGACCTTTTGCGCTGCTGACGCAGCGCTCTACCACTGAGCCACAGGAATATCAAACCAAAGTATTTTTATGGTTAACAAACTTTTCTAAAACTACAACTAAATCTGTTAAAACTATTAAAACTAGGGATGTAACGATTCACTCAACTCACGATTTTGATTTCACGATTCGATTTTCTCACGATTTTGAGATTGAAGGCATTTTACAGTAAATGAAAAGGTGTCGGTTTATTAGGCTATTGCTACAGGTTTCTTTGTGAAATCGAAATACAACAAAACTAAATTGAAATTTTAAAACAAACCCCAAATCAAACACGTTACACAAATAAAATAAATCTCTTAATATGAACAAACTAAGGCTTTGTCTGTGCTCTTTGCATTTAAAATTAGAGGCAACCGCTCTATTTTAATCATGATCCAAACAAAGATGCAGCATACATGCAGCATGAGTAGTTTTTAATCTAAATTAGATTGTATAATTTTGAAATGTGAACGAAAAAGCAGACGAGCTGAATGAGACGCAGATTCACTCTCTGCCAGCAGGTGGCGCTCATGGAACAGCAATGATACAGTGTTTCCTGGGTTACCGCTGTAAACAAAGGAACCCTACTTTAATATGCATTGTTCAGAGACAAGATGAAAAGAAAATACCACATAAACTTTTCTAAAGATAGTCAGTTCCCCTCAGAGATACAATCATATAAACTCCTACTCCAATTATATTAATTATATCGCGATTTGTTTGGCATCTCAACCGATTTGAATCGTCACATATTTGAATCGATTTTCAACCGGCTTGCGGTTAATCGTTACATCCCTAATTAAAATATTTTGTTAATTGAAATAAAATTACACAAATTACACTAAAACCATACAAATGTGTAACGTTCGGCTCGGCTGTTGGTCGAATTTACAATTGTTAAAATGGGGTCAAATTATACTGTGTGCGAGCTTTGAGTGTTTAAAAAGATGAGACAGACAACAATGTTAAAAGTGAAAATCAAATATATATTTACAATATTCACAAGAGACTTAAAACGACACTATAAAACTAGAATCATTTCGGCTGTTAAAAGCACAGAGTCTTTCAGTTCCATGCCCTAAAACAGTCCTTAAGAATCCTAGTGTGCTGTAAGTCCCAATATGAATGTGATAAGTGTCCACCGGTGTATATACAAAAGTCCACAGAAGTGATAATCCAAAAGTGCTGGAAAGGCGAGTCCACAATGGTAACTCCGCTATTCAGGTGATCACCAAATGGTCGTGAGCAATGACACTGCTTGTTTGGCATGCTGCCTCCTTGATGCTGTCCATTTCCTATTTCCTGTCATGTGATCAGTCACATCACAGGCAGACCCAGACTCATTTAAAGACGTACACACATTAAAATGGCTAAGACAACATGAAAACCTATTAAAACGCAATTATACATAAAATCATGATAATATATTGAGCAGGTTAAAACGTGTCCTGTGTGACAGTGTCAGAAATGTAATTACTGAAATATTTTATTGAAATAAAATAAAATATAAAAAAGTTACTTTATTTCAGCTATTAAAACTAAATAAACTACAACCAAAAACTATATAGACATATTAAAAATGAATAACAATAAAATTGGGAAAAACAAACCGAAAAATTAAAAGACAATTAACAAAAATGTAATTGAAACAGATAATAAATAAAACCTAATTCAAAATATTAACAAAATATTAAATGATAATAGAATATCAGTGATACTAAAATAATACTGTTGTATTGGCAACTAAATTAAATTAAATAATTTGCAGTACTTAAATTACTAAAACTAAAATTAAAGCTAAATAGAACTAATAAAAAGGACAAAAAACATAACAAAATTACTAAAACTTTAAAATTAAAATTAAAACAGCAAATATAAAAATACCAAAAAACTATAATGGTACAGTAATTGTATTAAAATAACACTGACAACTAAACAAAATAAAATAAATATAAATAAAATGTTGAAGTTTTAAGTTGAAGCACTAAAATTACTTAAGCTACAGCTGAAATACAAATTAAAGCTAAATAAAAAAAAAAAATAAAAAATAAAAATGACAAAAGCACATAAAATTATTAAAACTAAAATGAAATAAATCTTATTCAGATTAGTGCTGTCAAACAATCGCATCCAAAATAAAGGTTTTTGTTTACATAACATATATGAGTGTATTGTTTATATTTATTATGTATATATAAATGCACACACATGCATGTATATATTTAAAAAAAATGTTATGTTTATATGTTAAATATATTTATACAAATATATACATATAAATATTCTCAAAATATACAGTGGGGCAAAAAAGTATTTAGTCAGCCACCAATTGTGCAAGTTCTCCCACTTAAAAAGATGAGAGAGGCCTGTAATTTTCATCATAGGTATACCTCAACTATGAGAGACAAAATGAGAAAAAAAATCCAGAAAATCACATTGTAGGATTTTTAAAGAATTCACCGACATCGTGGGCAAGCCTAGTGCAAATTTGGTTTCTTGAGTGAAAATCAGTGCCTCAAAGTTTGGTTCCTGTTGAACAGGAACTGGGCTTCGTGCAGCATGTGTTGAAGGCCGGTCTGCTGCGTGAGACGGATCTGTTCTTCATGGCGGTTGTGGAGAGAGGAACAGGTGGGAATTGTGCTCTTGTGTCAGACTCTTCACTGTCGACATGTTCGGTTTGAATTTGTAGCTTATTGTGGCCTAAAATCATGCACTTAGAGAGTGTTTGTGATGTTTAGGGTGGCGGGTGAATTTGAAATCCATGATATCTCATTTACTTGCTACTCTAGTATTTAATTTAATTTAATTTATGCATTAAGCAGACGCTTTTATTCAAAGCGACTTACAACGCATTCAGGCTATAATTTTTTTTTACCAGTATGCGTGTTCCCTGGGAATTGAAACCATGACCTTTTGCGCTGCTGACGCAGCGCTCTACCACTGAGCCACAGGAATATCAAACCAAAGTATTTTTATGGTTAACAAACTTTTCTAAAACTACAACTAAATCTGTTAAAACTATTAAAACTAGGGATGTAACGATTCACTCAACTCACGATTTTGATTTCACGATTCGATTTTCTCACGATTTTGAGATTGAAGGCATTTTACAGTAAATGAAAAGGTGTCGGTTTATTAGGCTATTGCTACAGGTTTCTTTGTGAAATCGAAATACAACAAAACTAAATTGAAATTTTAAAACAAACCCCAAATCAAACACGTTACACAAATAAAATAAATCTCTTAATATGAACAAACTAAGGCTTTGTCTGTGCTCTTTGCATTTAAAATTAGAGGCAACCGCTCTATTTTAATCATGATCCAAACAAAGATGCAGCATACATGCAGCATGAGTAGTTTTTAATCTAAATTAGATTGTATAATTTTGAAATGTGAACGAAAAAGCAGACGAGCTGAATGAGACGCAGATTCACTCTCTGCCAGCAGGTGGCGCTCATGGAACAGCAATGATACAGTGTTTCCTGGGTTACCGCTGTAAACAAAGGAACCCTACTTTAATATGCATTGTTCAGAGACAAGATGAAAAGAAAATACCACATAAACTTTTCTAAAGATAGTCAGTTCCCCTCAGAGATACAATCATATAAACTCCTACTCCAATTATATTAATTATATCGCGATTTGTTTGGCATCTCAACCGATTTGAATCGTCACATATTTGAATCGATTTTCAACCGGCTTGCGGTTAATCGTTACATCCCTAATTAAAATATTTTGTTAATTGAAATAAAATTACACAAATTACACTAAAACCATACAAATGTGTAACGTTCGGCTCGGCTGTTGGTCGAATTTACAATTGTTAAAATGGGGTCAAATTATACTGTGTGCGAGCTTTGAGTGTTTAAAAAGATGAGACAGACAACAATGTTAAAAGTGAAAATCAAATATATATTTACAATATTCACAAGAGACTTAAAACGACACTATAAAACTAGAATCATTTCGGCTGTTAAAAGCACAGAGTCTTTCAGTTCCATGCCCTAAAACAGTCCTTAAGAATCCTAGTGTGCTGTAAGTCCCAATATGAATGTGATAAGTGTCCACCGGTGTATATACAAAAGTCCACAGAAGTGATAATCCAAAAGTGCTGGAAAGGCGAGTCCACAATGGTAACTCCGCTATTCAGGTGATCACCAAATGGTCGTGAGCAATGACACTGCTTGTTTGGCATGCTGCCTCCTTGATGCTGTCCATTTCCTATTTCCTGTCATGTGATCAGTCACATCACAGGCAGACCCAGACTAATTTAAAGACGTACACACATTAAAATGGCTAAGACAACATGAAAACCTATTAAAACGCAATTATACATAAAATCATGATAATATATTGAGCAGGTTAAAACGTGTCCTGTGTGACAGTGTCAGAAATGTAATTACTGAAATATTTTATTGAAATAAAATAAAATATAAAAAAGTTACTTTATTTCAGCTATTAAAACTAAATAAACTACAACCAAAAACTATATAGACATATTAAAAATGAATAACAATAAAATTGGGAAAAACAAACCGAAAAATTAAAAGACAATTAACAAAAATGTAATTGAAACAGATAATAAATAAAACCTAATTCAAAATATTAACAAAATATTAAATGATAATAGAATATCAGTGATACTAAAATAATACTGTTGTATTGGCAACTAAATTAAATTAAATAATTTGCAGTACTTAAATTACTAAAACTAAAATTAAAGCTAAATAGAACTAATAAAAAGGACAAAAAACATAACAAAATTACTAAAACTTTAAAATTAAAATTAAAACAGCAAATATAAAAATACCAAAAAACTATAATGGTACAGTAATTGTATTAAAATAACACTGACAACTAAACAAAATAAAATAAATATAAATAAAATGTTGAAGTTTTAAGTTGAAGCACTAAAATTACTTAAGCTACAGCTGAAATACAAATTAAAGCTAAATAAAAAAAAAAAATAAAAAATAAAAATGACAAAAGCACATAAAATTATTAAAACTAAAATGAAATAAATCTTATTCAGATTAGTGCTGTCAAACAATCGCATCCAAAATAAAGGTTTTTGTTTACATAACATATATGAGTGTATTGTTTATATTTATTATGTATATATAAATGCACACACATGCATGTATATATTTAAAAAAAATACTATGCGTCTCCTAGCGACCAATAAGACCCTAGCAAACTAATAGCAATCCAAAAGAACCTAGCAACCTCCTAACAACACTATGGAAAATACTATATGGAAAAAATAAAAAATAAAAATGACAAAAGCACATAAAATTATTAAAACTAAAATGAAATAAATCTTATTCAGATTAGTGCTGTCAAACAATCGCATCCAAAATAAAGGTTTTTGTTTACATAACATATATGAGTGTATTGTTTATATTTATTATGTATATATAAATGCACACACATGCATGTATATATTTAAAAAAAATGTTATGTTTATATGTTAAATATATTTATACAAATATATACATATAAATATTCTCAAAATATACAGTGGGGCAAAAAAGTATTTAGTCAGCCACCAATTGTGCAAGTTCTCCCACTTAAAAAGATGAATGGAGAGCGAGGTGAACGTGTTCCGGGCCGAGCTGCAGGGGCCTCGTCCGGGTCTCCAGCTCCTGACCAATCAGATCCAGCGCTTGTGTGTGTGTCTGGATGTGTATCTGGAGATGGAGAGTCAAGTGTGTGACGGCTCTGAGGGACCCAAGGAGTTTCCCAGAGAGAAGATGTGCTTGCGTACTGCCAGGTAACACACTAGACCTTCTGCAAATACACAGAGGAACGAATCAAAATGGTTGTTTGCTGGAAGTTAACAATGTTTAACATTGTTAACATTTAAACAAAATACAGGCATTTTCCCAATCGTATGATATGCGTTGATAAATTGTGCACATTAAGCAATGCTTGTTTTTAGAAATAAGTTTTAAATTTTGATTTCATGATAACTTGTATTTAACCCAGAATATTAATATAATTAATATAATTAATATCTTCAAGAAACGGCTAAAAACACCTCTTCCATCTTTATTTGACCCTCTAACTCTATCTCAGTTAGCCTAACGCAAAAACTTGCATACCATTGCTCTTTTGTTGGTTTTGATTGCTTCCATTGTCCTCATTTGTAAGTTGCTTTGGATAAAAGCGTCTGCTGAATTATTATGGCTAATAATTTCCATGATTTCTGGTGGATACAAATATGTGGTGTTCATGTGAAATCTCAATTCTTTCTCTCAGGGGTCCCAGTCGTCTGAAGCCCTTCAAGTACAATCATCCTCAGGGCTTCTTCAGTCACCGCTGAACCAGGATCGCAGGACGAGCGAGGCTGTTTTAGTGTTATTAGCAGGGACTGAAAGCCCTCGCTCATTTGCTTCCATCTACCTTTTTATCTCTATTTTTTCTCCTGTTTCTCTGTTTGCTCATATAATGTGAATTAGAAAATAAACTCTGATTTTGATTAGAAAATCTGCCTGTCTTCTCAGCTGTTTGATGATTCCAGCTTTATGTGGTATTACCTGTATGTATTATATTTATATTTGTTTGATATGCTTTACCATTTTTATTGTATTTATATTTTTGATTCTTTTATTATATAATTATACACACATTTATATGCATATAAACATACTGTATATATACATGTGTGTGTGTGTGTGTATGTATATATATATATATACACACACACACACTTTTTAATATGCATGCATTTACATGTTTTATTCATGCTTTAGTACTTTTCATAGAAACGATGCGAAATTATTTGTTCAGCTTTATCGTAAAGAATTTGTTAGAGACTCTTATTTTGAAAACGGCAGCGGTTCGGGGTCACGTGACAGTAAATGCACACAGTGTCGAACCTGTATGTCCACATCATCTCTGCGGAAGATCATGAACCTTTATATCGCAGAGTAAGCTTATTAGACACATATCGGGTGAGTGATTGGATTTTCTTTTAATTTTGTCCCTCGTGTTAAAACTGCAGCACAGGTGCATTTAATGCTGCATTTGAGACGCGTTATTTTTCAGAAAAAAACCCGTACCATTTTTTCATTGATACTGTGGTAACACCATAGTGCAGTGTTGATATCAAAAGATTTATGATTATTATAATCCGTGTCTGTTGCTCCTCAGAATGAGAGCAGATTTGACGCTTCTGCTCGTCTGTTTGCTGCTGCCTGCAGTCAGAGGCACATTATCAAAGACCGATGGCAAGAAAGCCAGTAAGATCCAGGAGGCGGAGGTGAGACTGCTGTGATCTGTGTGAGTGTTGTCTGTTGGATATGCTAACACTGAGAGAGAGTGTGTGTGTGTGTGTGTGTGTGTGTGTGTGTGTGTGTGTGTGTGTGTGTGTGTGTGTGTGTGTGTGTGTGTGAAGACGGCAAGACGGCATCGTCCGGTGCAGGAGCGCGGTCTGGCGGTGACGGAGCCTCAGTGGCGGGACATAGTGAGAGAGGAGAAGAGGTTCTGTCCCCAGTGTGTGTCCACACGACACTTTAGAGGAGCTGTGCTGGGATACATCACACCTGTGAGTCACACAGCATCTATCTATCGGTCCGTCCATCTGTCTGTCTACAGGTGCATCTCAATAAATTAGAATGTCGTGGAAAAGTTCATTTATTTCAGTAATTCAACTAAAATTGTGAAACTAGTGTATTAAATAAATTCAATGCACACAGACTGAAGTAGTTTAAGTCTTTGGTTCTTTTAATTGTGATGATTTT